TCGAATTCACTACTCCTTCCATTCTCCATGACTCCAGCCCTGCCTTAAAGGGCCAGCATCCGTTTTCTGCAGGATGCAATTTTGAGAAACCTTCCAGTCTCCAGTGGCTCGCCTCTCATTCTTCCTCCACACTATTGCCAGAATGTTTCTAAATGGAAAATTGGATCAAGTAATTTCTTCTTTCAAAAAGCCCTTTCAGATATTCTCCACAGCCTTCAGTTTTAAAATTAAACCCCTCAACGTAATAAAGTGTTTTTTGTGATCACCACCCCTGACCCACCCTCCCCTCCCACCACCGTTAGTGGCACCTCCTTAAACCTTGTGCTACTTTAAACCTCTCAGTCTTCAAACATGCTGTTCTCTCGGCCAAGTGTATGCTTACCACTTTTCACTACTAATTTAAATTAAGCAAAAGTGCTGGGGATAGGAGTAAGGGGAGATTTTGTGGCTTTTTTGTTTTTTCCTTTTTTTTTCCTGTTTATTTTATTTATTTATCTTTTTAAAGGGAAGCTTTTGGAATGCTAGTCATGTTCTACTTCTTGAGCTTGGTGTTTGTCATACATTCATGAAAATTCATTCTCAAACTGTCACTTAGGATTCATGCATTTTTTTCTATGTACATAATGGTTTAATTTTAAAATTATTTAAAACTTAAAAAAAGATTAAGCTCCTGGGGGTGGGGTGTGTATTGCTCAGTGGTGAGCACATGCTTAGCATCCACAAAGTCCTGGGTTCAATCCCCAGTACTTCCATTAAATGAATGAATGAATGAATGAATGAATGAATAAATAAAGTTATAAATACATTTTAAAAGATTAAAGAAAAATTAACCTCCTGGATATCCTGCTTAGGAAGCCGTCTTTGACCACACGCACCTGGCGTATGGGACCAGGTGTAGGAGAGACAGCCAATCAGCCAAGGGAGGGTCATTTAGTGAGACCCAGGGGCTCAGGTGCAGTATATTCCTCTCAAGTACAACTGTTCTGAAGGAGCAAAGCTCTAGTCAGTGTAGAAACCTGCAGTTTGCTTTTGATTCACTCTCTAGTCTAGCCTAGTGATTCACCCTTTCAAATTGTCTTTATAAAGTGTTTCAGGCCTCTCATTTCTATTTCCCACTTGACACCACCTTAGTAATAACATACTTTGAATGACCCAAAAGATAAGTTGGGGCAATTAAACTGTCCCTCTTTGGGGAATTTGAAAAAAAATTACCAATTAGCCATAAGCATTAAGAGTAAAAAGGAGACAAGACAGAAGCATCCGTGATGGGTTGTCTGCAAGCTAAGGTATTAGGGTGCAGCAACGTTGAGTAAGAAGAGGAAATCAGCTAATCAGGGAGGTGAACAGAGGGAACCCTTATGGGAAAAAGGAGACCTTAAGACACACAGGCCACGAGGTCCCTGAAAAAGACAAAAAGTAGCCAGTCACTGGAAACCTTAGTCGCTAGCGAGTTATTGCTACATGTGACTATAAAATAACCTCCCCCCCCTTTTTTTAATGAGTAACTTGAGTTGGTCTCTGTTATCTGCAGCTAAATGTGTAGAGACTTTTTTGAGAGTCACAGGTACGTAAGTTTAAATCCACCATGAGGTTGGCTGGGTGAGTTAAAGTAGACAAAGCAGTTAGTACCATGACAAGCATGCAGTGTGCCCTCGAAAGCGTTAATTTTCTGTGATGATGTGTTTGTTTTGTTTTGCTTTTTACATATAGATGCTGTGACACATTTTTTTTTTTTGTCAGTTTTGGCTAGTTATTCTTCTTGTTTGGTGGGGAGATGTTAATCAGGTTTATCTATTTGATGGAGGTACTGGGGATTGAACCCAGGACCTC